GGGTCGGCGGAGAAGGACCCGGGCAGCGCGGACTCTGAGGCCGAGGGGCTGCCGTACCCCGCGCTGGCCCCCGTGGTTTTCTTCTACTTGAGCCAGGACAGCCGCCCGCGGAGCTGGTGCCTCCGCACGGTCTGTAACCCATATCCTTCGTGGTGCCCCGGGCCGGGCTGGGGGGTCCGGGATCGGGGGACGGAGGACTCAGAGCCAGAGGAGTCGTAGAAGTGAGCCTCCAGGGTGGACAGGTGCTGGGGGGCTGCTCAGGAGGGGATTGGGCGCCGGGATGGGAGCAACAGACAACAGGGCTGGTGCGGACCCCCGGGGAACCCCACCTCCGTTCACACACACCTCAGTCCTTCTTGGGGTGAGGGGGTTTGGATTCAGGCCAGGGAAAGAGAGGGGGCAATGCCCCGCCGGTTTGCAGCTGGATGCTCTCCAGATGTGGGCAGCGGAGGGTCGTCATTCTCCAGCTGTGGGGCGCTTCGGGAGCCTGGATGCTCTCCTCCACCCGCCGCGGGTTAGCGAGCTGGGTTTGGTTTCCGAGTTTGGGGGCTGGGGTGGGGAGGAAGCTGCGGGGACGGAGGAGGGGAGACCGCAATCTCCTGGGTTTTCCTCCTGCCCCCGCCCCAAAGTTTGCGGCGGATTCTAGGGTGTGATCCCCCACCACCTGGTTCTGTGGGCTGAGGTCTTTTCTGACCCAGTGGGAGATGTTGGGGGGCGGGGACCAGGTCTTGTCCCCCCCCCAGCCCCCCACCCCGCGGGTTGGAGGCACAACAAGGAGATTCCGGCGGCGGCTGATGTCAGGGGTGCAAAATGAGAACAAGATGTGGCGTGGGGGGGTGCCGTCTGCCCCCGGAGCTGGACTGCAGCCCCTTTCAGCCGGAGCCCAATGCGGGGAGTGTCTCCCTCCACCCCAATTCCTCGTTTGATGCTTAGTGCTTAGGACTGGGCTGGGAGCTTTGTGCTGGATTTTTTCTTGTGGAGGGAAGGACTGTGGCAGAAGCTTTGGCAACTGGGGGGAATGGGATGGACCCGGTCCAAGTTACCCGTCCCCTTTCACAAACAGTGCTGGGCTGGGCAGAGCAGGTATGGGAGACCACAGCCCTGTGAAAGTATTGGGGAGCCGGCGTGCTCGCTAAGGACTCTGGTCCAACACCCACCGCTGTGCGGGTCTGCTCTGCTCTGGGGTCGGGTACGTGTGCCCCCCATTCCGGGAGGATGTGTGCGTCTAGGTACCCTGGCCGCTGCCCCGTCTGGAGGGGTCGGGGAGACCCAGCCCTCTGAACCCATAGCACAAAGCACTGATTGTCTGGTGCCCGGCTCCAGGCCCCTGGGAAGGGTGGGGGTTGGTTGTGCTGTCATCCCAGGTCAGGACACTTCTCCTGGCTCCGGCCTGCGGCCCGAGGGGGTGAGAGACCCCAGGTCTGGGCCTCTGCTTTGGGCAGGGGGTGGAGAGAATCTCTGCAGTTCTGCTGCCTCTAGTGCGCAAAGCAGGATGTGAGCTCGGCCCCCCCCGCCCCCATGCTCTGCGCTGCTGGGTCTTCGGGACCCCCCCCATCACACCTTCTCCCCACCCAGCCCCTTCCTACCCTCTCTGGGAGGTGCAGAAAGAGAGGTGGGGGCCTCAGAAGTCTGTGGTCCTGCTGGACAGGCACATACTGACCTGGGGTTCCCCACCCTAGTTCCTATTCTCTAAGGCCCAGGAGGAGATGGGAAAAGAATGTCGCTGACAAGGATGGGCTTGGGCATCTGTCCTCTGTGCCCCTGGCCACCTGTCCCTCTATGAATGGGAAAAACCTCTAGTCGCTAGCTGTTTCTCCTGGGGGTCCCAGGGAGGCCATGAGATTTATCCCCCCTGCCTCCCCACACCACCAGAAGCAGACCTCTTGGCTGGTGTCTTTCACCTGCCCTGCCTCCAGGTGTAGTGAAGGGTGTGGAGACAGATGCCTTCGTGGAAGGGGACAAGTGACCGGGGGTGGCGGGAGCCCAGTGCCCATCTTGAGGGTAGGGAGCAGGCTCATAGGTAGGGAGTGGAAGTGTGGGGCGAGGGGCACCCACCTTACTAGGGCAGGACTAGCAGCTGCGCCTGGGTTGGCTGAGGATGTGTTGAGAACAACCTCTTGGCAAAGGGGTTGCCCAAGCCATGCCCCTGGTGCTGCCGACCCATCCAAGTGCCAAGGGGAGCCTGTGTGTCCACTGCCAAAGGGGCTGTGAGCTGCCTCTGGGGCCTTGGGCTTCCTCATTCACCCTTCTGGCCCCTGTAAAACCTCCACGGGTTCCAGGAGGTTTCACCTTGGAGTCTGAGGGACATGACAATGCCGCCTCCAGCTAACTAGAGCCAGTTAGCCTTTTCCTGGCCATTCTTCCTTTTGGCCCCTTCCTGTCTCAGCCTCCTTAGAAGACCATGTTTCCTAGAGAGGAGATCTAGGCTTAGCGGGTAGGAAATGGTGTGTGCCTGAGTGTGAGGGAGCGTGTGTGTGTTGCAGAGGGTGGAAGAGCAGCAGAAGGCAGTGTCACACAAGTGTGTGTTTCCGTATCAGGGAGATCAGGACACAGGCTCAGTCAACTCAGAGCCAGTGAGGCCCCCACCCCTCAGGTTACAGGGGTGAGTTGGCCTTAGCAGCGTGAGTCTCTCCAAGTGTGAGGGCGTGCGTTTCCCCTCCCGGGAAGGAGATCCTGAGCATTCCCTCTCCGGCTGTTGTGTCACATCTGGAAGTTTGTGTAGGAGTTTCTCCAAGCTCGGAGCCCAGCACAGCTTTTTCTCATTTGGAAATCACAGGCTGGCATTTGGGATGCCGGGGGAGAGGGGGAGTGGAAGGGGCTGAGGGGGAGAGGGGAGCCTACCAGAAGTGGATGCGAGTGTGACTGTGCGTCACCGTGTGTGTCTGAGTGTGGGCCTCCAGAAGGAGGGGGCCCCAGGAATTTCTGTCCCATTGCCCCAAGTCGGCCTGCTCCTCTTACCTAGGGAGATAGCTCCCTGAGGTCCTCAGAGGGGTGTGTGTGGGGAGGTTGTTCCCGAGTCCCCATTTCCAGTCCCCAGGTTCTGCAGGCGGGATTCTGGGGAGAGGAGCTGACCACTGAATGGGGAGGGGAGGAGCATCCCGTCTCTGTCCCAGGCCCACCTTCCCACCCACTGTGCTCCACGGCTCCGCTGGGGGACTCCCCGTCACCCCAGTGCCAGTTGCAGTCATCCCTGGGACTCCCCCTCACCCCTTGCCGAGCCTCCCTCCATCCTTGCCTGCCCCAGCCCCAGCTCTCACCCCGCCCTGCCTGCCTCAGCCAGGATGGCAACAGACACACTGCTCACACACGCAGGCATGCGCACACGCACACACACAGAGTCAGACGCTTGAATCAGATTTCTGGCCTATTTCCCCTCCCAAAGATTCCAGCGGCCGTGTGTCTCTGGTGTCTCTGTGTCTCCAGTCTCTGTCTCGGGGTGGGGCTGGCTGCTGCCTTTTCTGCTGGCTTCAGGTTTCCATTCAGCTGGAACCTCTCTCCCCACACACCCACCGGCTGGATCTGGGGACACGCGCTGGCTCAGAGAAGCGGGCTCGCCGGAGAGGGGCTCGCTGGGGAATCCCTCTTCGTGCCTGCCTGGCAAGGACCACCAGGCTGAATCCCCTGTCTATCCTCCCTGGGGAGTACTGAATTTGGGGGACACCAGCCTCTCTGTGGGATGGGGAAGTGAGGACCTGCTCGCTCCACCTCTCTAGCTCTTACTAGAAGGCCAGGATTCCTGGGTCTAGGCCCATTTCCTCCTCAACAATCCTGTCTCAGACTTCCAGACTCCTAGGAGGGAAGGAGGCAGCCGCCCTGGGGTCTGCTCCTCTTCCCCATTCATATCCGAAGCCCCAGTGCCCGTGGAGGCCGCCAGCCTGCCTCCCTCACCCCCAGAGCTGCCAGGTTGGTCAAGGGCTCACTCTGTCCAGAAAAAGCCCCACGGAGAGGACACATTTGTGGAAATAACATGCTCTACTTCTCTCTCCCAGGAGAGGGGGGAGGAGGAGAGCTGGAAGTGGGGTTTCTTTCCTGCATTTCCTTTTTCTCTGCTTTTGATGGTGGGTTGTGGGGAGAAGAAAGATCCTCCCCTCTCCTGCCCCCACCCTTTGGGATCCACTCCAGCCTGGACAAGCACCATAGCAACAGTAGACATGTGACTGCACAGGTCTCTCTCGGTCACTATGGCAACCAGTGTCTCCGTTCCCTTGGTTACCATGGGGATCTGTCACATGGTTTTCCCCCCAACCTCATAACCTGTGGGTCTCCCTGTTTCTCCTTCCCTGCTTGAGGACAAGACAGTAGCCTGGATAAGGGGGAATCATGTGTGGGGGGATCTCTTTACCAGGGCAACAAATCCACACCACCTGGTGACACATTCTCCTGTTGTCATAGCAACAGAAGAACATCACACAGTGACATACTGCCACATTCCCAAGGAAACGAGCCCCACCCTGAGAAGGGTGAAAGATCTGTCCCCCACGAATTATTCCTCTGTTCAGATTGTCCCACATTCTGCCTGTACCTTAGTCTCTTTCCTGTCCTTTGATGGCAACATAGGGTGATGAGGAGAGGGAGATAGCAGGCAGGGTGTACCTGGCAGTGGGCTGAATGCCGACGGGGCCCTTGAGAAGGGGCTTCTCTGGTGAAGGCAGATTCTGGCTAGGAAAAGCCCCAGTCTGAGCGCGGTCCGAGGGGAAAGAGGAGGGGCAGTTGCTCTGGGTCGACTCTGCCCCTCCCCCATCGTTACAATCCATGAATGGCGAGACGCCTCGGGCTTCTAGCAGGCCGACTGATTGACCAATTGGTTTTTTTCTTTATTTGTCCTCCCCACTCGTTGATCATCTGCTCGGTGCCAGGTGCTGTGCCGAGGGGATAGAAAGGCGTGGTAGAGTGCCCCTGCCCGCAAGCGCGGCCTGGGAGTCGGTGTGCAGATGACAAGGTGGTGTAGTCAATGCCCTTAGAAGTGCCCGAGAACCACCCCATCCTCACAGCGGGTGTGGGTGTCGGTTCCCCCTTGCAGAGCAGAGGAGGGGTCACTTGAGGAAAGCAACAAGTTCTGGAGGATGACTGTGTCCTTCCCTTTCCAAGTGATGTCTCCCTCCCTGACCCCCCTTTCCCAGCATGACCCCTGGCTGAGCCCGTTCTGGGGCGAGATCCGCTGGGCTCTGACTCCTCTCAGGAAAACTGCTCCTTCGCAGCAGCACTCTTTCCCCTTCCCATCTACTTACCCCCCAAACCTCAAACTTTTTCTTTGAACGCTCACTCTTGTAAGGGGTGGAGGTTAGGGAAATTGCAGTGTTGGGGGACTTCTCAGGTGCCAGGGACAGAGGGTAGACATGGCGTGTGTCTGAGGGCAGAGTCCAGATGACGAGGTGGGGGGAGGGTCAAAGAGAAACACAGGTGTGGCCGGGACCTGCTTGGTGGAAGGTCCTGGGGGCCCCAGACTCTGCCAGAGCCGCTCCTTCCCAAGGCAGGGGTAGGGTGGGAGACCCCGTGTGCGCTGGGCCCCTCTGAGTCTGGTGTGGTGAGACCGGGCTGCCGTGACCCTCCCACATCAATTCCCAGGGAGTCCCTCTGCCCTGGGCCTCACCTCTGTTCTTCCTGCCCCTGTTGTATTTTCTGTGAGAAAAAAAGGCCGCTTGGTAGTTTTTCGGATGGTCTGGGGCCTGGAACCTTTGGACTACCAGAGGTCATCTTGCCCTTCCTCCTGACAGGATGCACCGGCCCCGCAGCAGGAAAAGGCTGGGTTGTAGAGGTCTCGGCCCCACCGCTGTTCTGAGCCGAACTGGAAGATGTAAGAAAGGGTGAGGGCAGTGTGTCGCGTGTGTGGGTGCTGTCCCCGGCCCGGCCTGGGGCTCTTGCCTAGGACTGCGTTGAGGCTGGCTGAGCCCTTGAGAGACGCTGGGGCTGCTGCAGTGGCTCCATGCCTGCCGGGTGCCGAGGTGGCCATGGAAGCCCCTTCAGTGCCCACCTGGGCAGCTGCAGGGTGCAGAAGATGGCACTGAAGATGGGGAGCTTGGAATCCTCTGTCTCATCCTGCCTTCTTGAGGGACTTTGGCGCCGTCTGCCTCAGTTTCCCTGGGTTCTGGGGAACAAAGTGATCCAGCCTGGGTGCTTCACGGGCGGGGCTGTTGTGAGCATCGGCCGTGGCCTTGTGTGAAAGCGCTTGGTAAACTGTAAGGCAGCCATAATCCCGCTGTGGGTTTGTGTAACACATTCACATACACCATCGCACTTCCTTCTCACATCTGCCCTGTGAGGTAGGGAGAACACACTCCGTTTCTGCAACAAGCTCACGGTGCCTGGCATTTCCACAAGCACGATCGATTCTGCTCCCCAAACGGCTTGTGCAAATAGCCAGGGTATTTATGGCTGTTCCTCCTCTACCACCAAGGAAAGCCAAGACCCTCCGGTTCCACCCCTTCGCGACTCAGATGGGGCCGGGAAGTTGACAGGCAGCAGGGGTTAGGGTGGAATACCGGGGACGGTGTCCAATCCAGCCCCAGCCAGCTGTTTCCTTGACCCCTGATACCTGGTTCGAGCGGATCAGCATGCTGGTCATCCTCCTCAACTGTGTGACCCTGGGCATGTTCCGGCCGTGCGAGGACATCGCCTGCGATTCCCAGCGCTGCCGGATCCTGCAGGTGAGTGTGAGCGCGCATTAGGGGGTGGGCACGGTCCCCCCTTCTTAGTCTCAGCACCCTCTCATCCCCCACACCAGGCCTTTGATGACTTCATCTTTGCCTTCTTCGCCGTGGAAATGGTGGTGAAGATGGTGGCCTTGGGGATCTTTGGGAAGAAGTGTTACCTGGGAGACACTTGGAACCGCCTCGATTTTTTCATCGTCATTGCAGGGTGAGGGCCTGGGCTGTGGGTGGGAGAGCGATGGGTCATCGGATCAGTGCCTTCCCTGGGGGCTCCTGCCCACACTCCAGCCCCAGGATGGCTGTTTCCTCCCCTCCTGTCCACTTGGGCCCAGGCTGCCTGCCTGCAGCACTCTGGCCCACACTTCTCTGACATCCGTGGCTTTTCCTCCTGGTTCTGCTTCCTTCTCTGAAGGCTCTATCCTTGCTTGGAGGTGGCCCTGCCCCCCCCCCAGCTGATCCTGCAACCCTAGATGCAGGAGAGGGAGGAGTCCGGCTGTCCTCTTGCCCTCGCGGCAGGATTCCTCATTGACCTCTTTTGATGCCCTGGTGGCCTCAGACTCAAAGGGCCTCCCTCTGGGCCCCTCCCTGCAGGATGCTGGAGTATTCGCTGGACCTGCAGAACGTCAGCTTCTCAGCTGTCAGGACAGTCCGCGTGCTGCGACCGCTCAGGGCCATTAACCGGGTGCCCAGTGAGTGACCCCTCGGCCCCCTGGACAGACTCCCTAGAGGAAGTGTGCAATTCTCAGGCCCCGCCCCCCAGTGTGCCCTCCTCCAGCCGCGCACACACACAAGGCTCAGCAGGAAGGCATGTCACTAGAGGCACACACAGCCCCTGACTGGGGCACTGGGAGCCTTACCTGGAAAGACCCCCCTCCTTTCAGCCTGGCTTTGGGTCAGCGTCTCAGAAATGCCTCAGATGACCCTTCCCAGGGGGGTATGGGTGGGGCCGGCAGAGGGGGACAGGAAGTGATAAAGGTCTCTTTTGGCCCTCACAATCTTTCAGGCAGTGTGGCTGTCATTGGTGAGGCCACACTGGCCACACGGACCAGGACTTCTCCCCAGACAAGGCCACTCCACACCTCACCCTCCCTTGGAGGTGGTGGCTGCATCCCCTTCCCCCTGCCCATCCCCTTCCAACTCGCTGCAGTGAGTGCCGGGACCATTATCTAAATTAAACCGCATTGGTTCCTGGAGCCAGCAAAGGTTTGGCAGCTCTGATTCCCCCAACGTTCTACCCCCACCTTCACTCAGGCCCCCTTTGCTACTCCCCAACCTCCGCAAGCTTTAGATGGTCCCCCCCACCGTGGGCCCTGGAGAGGGAGCGCATTTCTGGGGCGCTGTGCCTATGTGCCTGGCACAGCAGCACCCCCCTTTGCTCTGCGTGCTTGCGTGTGCGTGTGTGTATGTGTGTGCGTGTGTGTATGTGTGTGTGTGTGTGTGTGTGTGTGTGTGTGTGTGTCTGCTCTGTGTCCTGGGGTCCTGGGGGCGACAGGGTGCACAGGTGTTAACAGGAGCCTCCTGAAGAGGGGTGTGCCCCGCCTCCCCACCGCCCCAAGTGCCAGGTGCGGGCTGGCAGATTGATAGGCCTTGTAGAAGCATCTAACCACCGGTGTAATTCCCCTAATAAAGCCCGAGGAATTGATCTCAGTTGGAGCTGGAGCAGCCGAGGGGGATGGGAGGGGAGGAGGACAGAGCTAAGCCAGGGCTGGCGGGGTGAGGGAGACTGCAGTCACCCAGACAGACATTCAGGAACTGCTGAGGCCCTGCCCTGCAGGGGGCAGGGGCCAGAGGGGCACACCGAGAGTCAAAGCTGTCTCTTGAGATTTGTGCTTCACAGGGATTTGGGGGCCTGAAGCCTGTTGGGTCCCAGGCCTGGAGTGAGAAAGGGGGCAGGATCCCCAACAGGATGTTTGGGTGCTCACAGCGGCTCTCCCCAGGGAGAGCTTGCTGACCGGTGGACACTTAAGAAGGTAGAGCTGTGTCTTCCTGTCACGCCCTGAGGATCCTGGGGCTCTCTGCCTCGTTTCCCCAGTGACCCCGTGTCCATACCATAGAGACCGGGTGGCTGTGTGTGGTGAGAGAGGGAAGTGGAGGTGTGTGCGTGCGCTTGTGTGTTGGGGAGCAGGATTTGGAAGCACAAAGCCTAAATTTGAATGCAGGAGCCTCCATGCTGAACAAGTCACATCACTGCTGTGAGCCTCAGACTTCCCATCTGTAAATTGGGGTGATGCCGCCCACTGCGTGATGTGATGAGGTCAGAGACCGCAGTTGTTCTGGCCCATTGGGGATGGTGCTATGCACAGCTTAAATGAGGGACTCCGGGGGTGCAGAGGCTGTCTAGGGAGTTGGAGGTGTCTGTTGGTCTCCCCGCAGCTGGAGCCGGAGTTCTCCCATCAGGCCCCTGGCCTGGCCAGCCTGGCATCCCCAGCGTGGTTTCTGCCCCCCACAGGCATGCGCATTCTTGTCACGCTGTTGCTGGACACCCTGCCCATGCTGGGCAACGTCCTGCTGCTCTGCTTCTTCGTCTTCTTCATCTTCGGCATCGTGGGTGTCCAGCTATGGGCAGGGCTGCTTCGCAACCGCTGCTTTCTTCCCGAGAATTTCAGCCTGTGAGTGTGGCGGGGTTCGGGGGGTAGGCAGCTGGGGACCTCCCCTGGGCCCGGCTTCCTGTTGCCATTGACAAATCTGTTCTCATACCCGAGACACATCTGGTTCTCAAACCTGGCTACACATTGACATGACTTGAGGAGCTGAAAAGTTCCAGATGGCCGGGTGCCCCGTGCAGAGACTGCAAGTGCATTGGTTGGTGGTTCAGGTGTGATACCGGGCGTTTGAAAAACTCCTGTAGAGCTGGGTGTGGTGCTGCACGCCTGTGATCCCAGCTTTCTGGGAGGCTGAGGCAGGAGGACTGCAAGTCTCAATTCCACCTGGGCAATTTATCAAGACCCTGCCTAAACAAAAAATTTAAGAAGGGCTGGGGATGTAGCTCAGTGGGAAGGTCTTGGGTTCAATCCCCAGTTCAACCAAAAATCAAAACAAAAACCCACACCAAACCAAAACAAAAGACCCAGACAGACAAAACTCAAAAGGTGTAGCAAAGTTAAGAAGCCACTATTCTAAGATGTGACCCTCCATCACCTGTGTCTATGCCCACAAACCCTGCCCTGGCCGGTGCCGTCTCCCACTCAGGCCTGGCCTGTCCTCCTGTGTGCCTCGGTGCTCCCTTTCTGGGCTCTCTCCACAGACTGCTCCGCAGCCTCATCTCTGCCACCCTCCCCACCTTGCAGGCCCCTGAGCGTGGACCTGGAGCCCTACTACCAGACGGAGAACGAGGATGAGAGCCCTTTCATCTGCTCTCAGCCCCGCGAGAACGGCATGCGTTCCTGCCGGAGTGTGCCCACACTGCGCGGGGAGGGTGGCGGTGGCCCGCCCTGCGGCCTGGACTACGAGGCCTACAACAGCTCCAGCAACACCACCTGTGTCAACTGGAACCAGTACTACACCAACTGCTCGGCGGGCGAGCACAACCCCTTCAAGGGCGCCATCAACTTTGACAACATCGGCTATGCCTGGATTGCCATCTTCCAGGTGGGACTGCCGGGGCACAGGGCCGCCTGAGAGAGGTGGTTCTTGGGGCCAGAGTCGGGGTCACAGCCTCTGGAGGAGACTGGAGAGGACTTTGGAGGGCCCAGAGTCAGCCTGTCCCTTTGGCCTCCCCAGGTCATCACGCTGGAGGGCTGGGTGGATATCATGTACTTTGTGATGGACGCTCACTCCTTCTACAACTTCATCTACTTCATCCTCCTCATCATCGTGAGTGACTCCTCCAGGACCCACGGGAGCAGGGGATCTTGGGGGAATGGTGGGTGGTGGCATCCGGACAGCTTGCTGGGTCTGGAGTGCACAGCTCTCAGGACAAGTCCCATAGGAGAACTCCAGGCTGGGGGTCGGGAGGCACCGAGATCAAGGTCAACCCCACCACTGGCACTCTTAGGACCGTTCCCAAGTCCTTCCCTGTGCGGCCCCACCCCATGGAGTCTTCCCCAATTAGGTGGGTGGCTTTCACTCTAGGGACACGGCCTCCCCTAGGCGGGCTTGGGGACACACGAGGTGGCTCTGATTTTTATAAGGACCAGCGGTGCATTACGGGCATTTTGCTGGGGGGGGGGTGCTACAACTGTCGTGAAATGTTTGCAAGCAGAGATTATTTGTCCCGTCCCAAATTCCAATAAGTACTGTATAATCAGGAAATGCTGTGCAATGGCCTGTTCCTTCCAGCTCAGAAATTCCAAGTCTTGGGGATTTAGCCCAGTCGTGCAAGGTCCTGAGTTCGATTCCTGGTACTGAGGCCAGTGAGGGGGGTGGATTCCAGGTCTTCATGAAGGCAGAAGACAGGCAAAAGCAGCAATGTTTTTAAACTCCCTACCATTCATGGTTAATCATTTCATTGCTACCATGTATAGCTGATATTTCTTGAGCACTTACTATGCTCCAAAGGTTTGGTCACTGGGCCAAAACCACATAGGAAGTAAGAGCTGTGGCTGAAAATTCAACTCCAGGCTGCTAATTCCAAGTCCAGCCTTTGGCCCATGTCACCAAGAGGCACCCAGATGGAGGGACACTCTCCCTTGATAGGAGGAGGTTGAGATCTACTCAGGACCCAGCACAGGCACCAAAAACAAAGGAGATGGCTCCAGGGCAGAGAGGGACAGACCTCAAGAAAGAGCAGGTCCCCAGCCACCCCTCCCGCTTCTGTAACTTTCCCTGTGCTGAAGAGAGGCCGGGCTTGGAGGAAAGCCTGGCTGGGGAGCCGGTCCTATCCTTCCCGTCGCCTTGGGGCAAGGTGGGTGCTCCAGGGAAGCAGGCTCGCTTAGGGATGGGGAGCAGACAGGGAGGTGAGGGGCCTAGTTTCCTCCCTCCCACACACCCCCGAAAAATCTTTCCAAACAGCTCTCTGGAATCACACCAGTGAAGCTAATTATCATAATTACTAGGACATGATCTAGAAAAAAAATATCTGCTTTGTCACCATAAATACTCATCTCCATCCTTCAGGATTGTTGTGCATGCGATGGCTGGCCTGGGGCCCTGGGGAAACTGAGGCAAGAGATGGGGGCTGGGGACGGATGGGCAAGTCGGAGAGGCAGTCTGGCTGGTCTCTGGGGTCCAGGGTTAAGCTCTTTGATCTGCTGGGGGAGGGGAGAGGCACCAAGAAAGCCAGGCCAGCGATCCCGATTTTCAGATAAGGCCTCGTGGCCAGTGTGCTCCGCAGAGTGGCACAACTGGAATTGGAGGGTCAAAGGGGCATCCTGTGAGCAAATCCCAAAGGTTCAGTCCAACTCGAATGCCCCCACACGTCCTCCACACGCGTCCGTTTCCAGCGTACCCTCTCCTGTGGGAACCAGGGAGGGGGTGCTATAGCCTCCCAGGTAGGCGCATTTAGGGGCAGGGATTTGGTGGAGGTGACCTTGCGCGACACCATTTCAATCCAGAGCAGCACCATGGAATTTCACAGGGTGTGGCTCAAGCCAGCCTCACCCTGCCTTGGCCACAGGACCTTGAGCCCCGCCTGGCCCCCTGTATTCGCGTTTCTTCAGGACATCTCCTCCTGCTGTCCCCACCCCTACAGGTGGGCTCCTTCTTCATGATCAACCTGTGCCTGGTGGTGATTGCCACGCAGTTCTCGGAGACCAAGCAGCGAGAGAGCCAGCTGATGCGTGAGCAGCGGGTGCGGTTCCTGTCCAACGCCAGCACCCTGGCCAGCTTCTCTGAGCCGGGCAGCTGCTACGAGGAGCTGCTCAAGTACCTGGTGTACATCCTCCGCAAGGCCGCCCGGAGGCTGGCCCGGCTCTCTCGGGCTGCGGGCGTTCGAGCCGGGCTCCTGAGCAGCCCGGTGCCCCTCGGGGGTCAGGAGCCCCCGCCCAGCAGCAGCTGCTCTCGAGCGCACTGCCGCCTGTCCGTGCACCACCTGGTACACCACCACCACCACCATCACCACCACTACCACCTGGGCAACGGGACAGTCAGAGCCCCCCGAGCCAGCCCAGAGATCCGGGACAAGGATGCCAATGGGTCTCACCGGCTCATGCTGCCACCCCCCTCAACACCCACCCTGGCCG